ATAACTATAATAATAATTATTATTATTATTATTATTATTATTATTATTATATAAAATTTATTGATATATACAACTCCTAGACAAAAAATTAGAATATTCACCTAACTGAAAGTTTAGTGTACATTTTCTCAGGAACAACACAGAGTATGAAACTTTTTTCAACACTACATAAACAGTGCTTATGTATATTTATTATATCCATTAATCAGACAAATTAACTCAAACGTTTTTTTGTTACAAATGGAAATGACAAAAAAATAGAACAACAGTTTGTCCATGACACAAAATTAGAATACTAGCTAAATGTGGGTTACATATAGGAAATACAACAAAATAAATTTAATATTTTGTGGCATTGATGTTTTCCATAATTACTGCTCACTGTCAGGCATGGTGTGAATTAATGCTCCACATTCGTTTCTGGTAATGCAGTTTCAAATGTGTCATATGCATGTCACTAGTTCCTCTTTAGAATTGAGCACCATTCATCAAGTCAATTTTTTCATGACTCCCCACAAATTTTCAATGGGGTTTAAGTCTGGGAAATTGCTTAGCTGAGGCACGATTGCAATTTGTCATTCTTGTAACCAACGTATCATTGACTTTGCGATATGAGAGGATGCTCCATCTTGTTGAAATAGAAATGTTTTCTCAATTAAATCCTTTGCCGATGGTTTCATAAATGTCTCTGAGATGTCTTGATATGTCTGTGCATTGACACGTTCCTGAAGAATGCACAGTTGTCCTATGCCATTAGCACTAATGCATCCCCAGGTTATGATAGATGATGCAAACTTCACATATCTCTTCATAGAGTCTTTTTGAATAGCCTCTTTGGTTGTTCTCCATACACAAGGGCCATGGTCACAACAGGAGAGACAAAACAGGGATTCATCACTGAAGTAAACATTACTCCAGTTGTCTTGTTCCACATGAGCCTCTCTCTGCATCATCTGACACTTGCTTGTCATTGCTTTATCATTAGAGATGGCTTCATCTTGGGAACATGGAAGTTGAAGTGCAAGTCATGCAACCTTCAGCATGTGGTTTGGCTACTAACATTCACTCCAGTTAGGCTGTGTACACATTAGGCATTTTGCGTTGAGTTAAATGTGCATCAGCAGCGTACACACCGTGTGTTAGCTCGGCGTTCGACAACCATTTAGTGGAGCGTGAACAATGGCTCCGTTTGGAAATGGACGTGAAAGTAATTGCTTGTGTGTGCCTCCTCCATCGTCGCTATAAAAGATGATGGCAGAGGCAAAGACAATTTTGGGTGCACCCAATATTACAAGATAGACTGACGCATGGAATGTTTGTGACGTTGTATCCAAAACTAAGACAATATGAACCCAAATTTTTTAATTCTTTTAGAATATCTATAAAATCATTTGACAATGGCTGGTCTCTTAGATTTCATCAATAAATAGATCAGTATCGAAATGATCATTCTCCATTTCGGCCAACGTACGTCCACTCTACCCGAAAGCACACTTGAATGTACAACAACATGGCAGCACATATATCTCAAAGCGCGCGGCTGACGCCCGCGAAACGCGCATTCTAACAAAAATCTATCAATGCGTGCTTGGCCAGAAGCACGCGTTTGAGTATATATACCTATGCAGAACTCTTGGTTCTTTAAAACGCACATTACCAAAAACATGCATTTAAAAATGCCTAATGTGTACACAGCCTTACTCTCCATTGCGCATGCAAGTGTTTAATGCTCTTAAAGCAGTTTTGCAAGACAATCCTTCTCAAGTTTCTCTCATCCTTTGCAGTCATTGCTTGTTTACATACACATTTCTGGCATTTATTAGTTAAAACTTGAACACTGTTTTGTCACACTATAATATGGTTGCTGTCTATTGGTTCTTGTATATGAAACGTCTCTTTAATCCAAAACTTGTTGATAGACTCTAACCACAATGCTGTGAGGCAAACAATTAAACATGTTTTTATATAAATTAAAATGTTAAATTGTTTTTAACCACAATGCTGTGAGGCAGTCTACCAACAAATTTTGGATTAAAGAGACGTTTCATATACAAGAACTGTTTTGTTGTTTCATTATTCTAGAGACTGTTGGCTGCAAGCATTTTACATAATTCACAATTTCTTTTTTGGATTCTTCCTACTTTGTACAAGGCTAAGATAATATCTTTAGTTCTGTCACTGATGTTGCACTTACACCCCATGTTGTACTGTTATAATGCTCTGCCTAGCAATATGGAAATGCATTACAATTTAGTTTTTATGCCTGTTTGTTTGGCTGTTTTTGCTAATATTCTAATTTTTTCTCATGGTCAAACTTTATTCTATTTTTTTTTTTGTCATTTCATTTCCATTTGTAACAAAAAACATTTGAGTCAATTTGTCTAATTAATTAATGGGTACAGTCGACCCCCCTATAAGATATAGATATGTTCCAATTTATTAGGAATCCGATTTCTTACAAGTCGTTCCAATCACAGCCTGACACGTGTCAAGTTTACGGACTACGGCTGATTGAAAGGTTTTCTTCCATAAAATTAATCGATTCTACACTAATCCGACTTAACATTTCCAAAATACGTATATTTTTTCGTAGTTTTATAGGAATCTTAATTATAGGGACCGTAATTATAGGGGGGGGTCAACTGTATAATAAATATACATAGTCATTGTTTATGTAGGGTCGAAAAAAGTTTCGTACTCTGTGTTGTTTATGAGAAAATATACCCTAATCTTTTAGTTAGGTGAATATTCTAAATTTTTGTCTAGGAGTAACACATTAACTATGATAAGTAGATATAATAAATACATGTTAATATCTAGAAAGTAGCCAATGTTGGAATAAAAGATTCAAAACCATTTTTCTTATAATAAATTGCAAATTTCAGTATGGCATCTATTCTGTTTTTATCAAGTAGAATCATTATTCCCATTTTTAAACAGTTTTATTATATTCATATAATAAAATCAGGTTCATTAAAATCAACTAAATTTAAATTAAATAATGTATAATAAATTCATATAAATCAAAATAAACTCTAAAAATATATGAGAAAAAATTACAGATGTGCTGGATGTATGATAATAAAATGTTTTACATAATCAAACATCATTGCTACACCCGATACGTATCAGATGTAGTAATGATGTTTGATTATTTATATATGCCTTGCCGGAGTTTGCAATGACTTGTTGAGTGCCTTGGGAGTTGTTTGCACGTTGTGGGCACTGAATGCATCCCCAGCCAGCATTGTAATAACCATCAATAGTTATATCATTAGCTTATATGTGCTGAAAAAGAAGATCAGACTGAAGGTCCAGTAGTGTAATTGGCAATGCATCTGCACGGTAAGCAAATGTTGCGGGTTCGAGTCCCGCTTCAAGCCGATTCTTTTCTTCCAGTAATTAAATTATAATTATTAAATTTGTCAAGAGATGGCACCTAATGCCTAACTCTAATGCCAAATTGTCTTCTAAATTAATAGTATTATAGCCATTTCTAGCCAGATAATATTTGGCTTTGGTTGGTGTATAAAAATGTTTTAATATTAATTCTATCAAGAGATGGCACCTAACGCCTAACTCTAATGACAAATTGTCTATTAAATTATTAGTATTATAGCCATTTCTAGCCAGATAACATTCGGCTTTAGTAGATGGATAGCATTTGACTTTGATTAATAATATTGGGTTTTAAGATGTTTATATGTGATTGAAAAAAATATGATGTCAATGTTTCTGAAAAAACAGTTTGTAGACATTTGAAATCAATGGGATACAATTTATGTAAAAAACAAAAACCAAATCTTTTTTTTTTAACATCATGACAAATAAAATACAGGTTGGCCTGGGCAAGTGAGAACAAATATTGGGCGACTAATGACTGGAACTGAGTTATATTCTCTGACACGAGTCCTATTTGCCTAGGATATGATGACAATGCAGAAACCAGAGTTTGGCAACAACCTTTAAAGAAATTTAAAAACAAATGTCTCCAAACAGGAGTGAAATTTTCTTTATCTGTGATGGTATGGGGATGCATGTCATCATTTGGCATAAGAAAAATATACATCTGTAATGGAAAAGTAAATGGTAAGGCATACATTGATATTTTAAACAATAATTTACTTACTACAGTTGAACAATTTAGGGATAATCCATTTACTTTCCAAAGTGATAATGTATCGTGTCAACCGATGCCACTGTGTAACATCCTAGCTGAAGGCTAACAAGGAGAGCCTACGGCTTTGGGGTAACGGATTTTGATGATCTTTGGTGTAGAGGTAGTACACGATGTGAGTGTACAACCTGTAAAATACTAAAGTGCAATACTCAAATATAATCGAGAAAATCGAACTTAAAGTTTTGTTAGCACTTTATATATAAATTATACGTANTAATAATTCAAATTTGTCATATTAAATTTTTAACATAATTTTAACTTTTAACTAGTTTAAACTTAACAAATGATAAATATAAACTGTGACAAATTATATAACTGATTATTAATACTGTGAAAAAATTCAAAAACAAACCATGATAAAATTTTCATAGTCATTTAGTTCTAATTAGTTAAGAGCTAAATTTTGTCAAGATTAATCAAAGATCAAAAATGATATTGTTATAATGGTTGACTATATACATTATTTGTTATTTTATTTCATACTCCCTCTGTCCCATAATAATAGGAGCAAGTGAATATTTAAATGGGAATTATTGGCAAATACAGCTGTAAGTTATGTTGTAGCACAAAATTGCAAAGCCTTCAATCAAAATTGATTTTACCTAATTATTATAAATTATAAGTATTTTTCTAATTTCATTCGCTGATCGAAATCAATTGTTTTTTTTCAGTTGAATATCAATCCATTATAAAGATAAAATGAAAAAAGAGTGTTTTCAAGCAAAGATTGAGTTGCAATTATTCAGTTCTTGATGAATCGAAAGAAAAACGAAAAGTTGCAAGTGACCATAGCCAAATAATAATATAAGCAGTGACCAGAGCCTTTCATAATATTTCTCCTGAAATACTAGATAATATGTTTCTGTCACTTCAACAAGTTATGCTGGAAGCAATGAAGAATGATGGTTCTAATAATTTTAACTCACTCATACAGGGAAAACAAAGCTTCAAAGCCAAGAGATCCTACCTACAAGATTAAACTCTAGTAAAAACATTATTGAAAAATCCAGAAACTATCTGAGCACTTAAAAATATTACTCCTAATTTTCATTTTAATTCATTGTTTAACTTAATCTAGTTTTTTGATAATAAATGTTGCATTCTATATTTATTTTCTTTTGCTACTGTTATTATGGAACAAATTAAATTCATTAACTGTTACTATTATTATGGGACAGAGGGAGTAATTTTTAATTGTGGCTAGTCTGCACAATTTGGACTTTTCACTCTGACAGCACTAAGTTGTCTTTGTATTATCTGCAGGAAAAGTCATTAATCCCACAAGCATGGGCTTATAAATTTAACTATCCCGTGATTGGATTTACAATGTGTGTGTTCTCTGTTAATGAATGTTAGAAAGCACATGTTATATGCATACTTTTAATTACCATTTTGTAAAGAGAATATTTAATTAAAAGTATAAAGATATATAGGAAATTAAAGGGGTTAATATTTTTTTGCTTATTCTAGATAATTGAATCTTGGCTATCTGATTCAGAAGTCAAAGTGTCAGTTAGTACTTCAGTTTACATTCATATGATGTCTTATGTACACAAAAGAAGCAACAGATCTACAGTCCTATTAATGGGCTCTGTGGGTGCTACTATATACAGGAAAGGGATGGATAAGAAGTTATTGTTTAAAAGGTAAAACAGTGTCTTTACATTGAAAGTTCTTTATTGTGTTCAAATTATACAAATGTCAGTGCAAACATATACAAATTGTAGCTCATTTTAAATGGTCCAAGTTGATTAACAAAAAAAATTCTGCATAATGTCTAACTACATATTTATTTAAAAATAGTAATCAGAACTCTAAGCGCATATAGATTATGGAAATGAAATTTGATGTAATGTATTTATTGATTTTTGGTCACTAATATGTTTTATATAAGTTTAACTTCATCAAAAATATTGTAAAATTCCATTTTGGTTTCTGATTAGGCTGAAAACCCCAGTTTCAGGAAGACCTTACCTGTCTGTGAAAAATGTAATTATACTAGATCTGATATCAAAGGTAAAGTATTGATACTAGTATCAGCAGTATCAGGACATCCTTAGTTACAACAATGCTTAGAGATAATTGCAAGGGTGGGAACAATAGGTATTGATAGTTGAAAGGATAGAATTAAAAAAAGCAGTGGTAGATGCAGGTCAGTTAACACAACCATCAAACAAGAGCCCATGGATAGATTTAGGACATGTGAGGCCAGGTTGAAAGACCGATTGCTAACTACAGACAGTAACTCCAGAGCATGACTTCTGTTGCTAATCATCCCAACATTTAAGAGAAACAAACACTACCAGAAGTAAAGCTGGAACATGTCACCAGGGTGGGAGCTAGCCAGATGAACCATGTCCAACTAATTTCACAACTATCATCATCATCAATATGCAAGTATAGCTGAATAAAACTTTAAATAATGAAAAATTACAAAAGTAGGATGTGGTCAACAGAGAATCTATACAATTTAAATGAAACTCCTCTCTTTAAGCAAAAAGTTGGCATATGAGTGGATCTATCAAAAATAATAATCATTGGTCCCTTCTTTTTTGTTACCATAAACAGTGATAATCTATAACCTTCATTAATGAACTAAATGAGAACAAAATAAACAATGCAAGGTTTCAGCAAAATGACATCACAACACATACTAATGAGTGTCACAATCAATGATCACAATCAATGACACTCACTCAGAAAAGTTTTGGTAATTATGTAATCTGTGAGGCCAGGACATCACCCCCAATGGAAAACTAGCTGTCAAATTAAAGCCAATAAATCAGTGACTTATTTCGTAAACAGGACCGGTGTGACCAAAAAACAGGATGCGAGACAATATAATTGTCGCATTCCAGACTTAATTGACAGATCCCCAATCGTACTGTACATCGTGACAGCAACAGAGGGATCGTCTGACAGGGTAACTTTGGACGATCACCTTACAGAGTTCAAAGCGGGACCTGCTGACACTCCTGTGAAGGGGGCAGCAGCTGGGACAGCCGCATCTTCTCTGGGACAGAAAAATACACATTAGAGTAAAATTTACGGGTCATCATCCAGGGAAGGGCTTGACCCAACTCTGGAGGAGAATAGCCCAGACAGGGATGTTCAGCGACCCCGTGGGCTGAATTGCACCCCTGGCAACAGACCAGGGACCAATGGAATTTCAGGGGACCACCATTTGGACCAACCAAAACCTTGGGATTTCAGGAAAAATGATATAAAAGCCCGAAATCCCAAGGACACAAGGAGGTTGGGAGCGAACAGTCTTGCTAATCATCTAAAGATTGTCGGAGCAAAGGCTAACACTCTAATTCAGAACAATAGAGGAATGAGAGGACTGAACTTCCCACAACAGACCTCTCCATTCGATGGATGCAACTAGGGATTCTACCTCCTGACGAAAATTGGGTACATTGTGGTCTTGTGCAATGTGAACCTGGCTAACACTTCCTCCTCCAAAAGATCTTCTACAGATGGAGAATCCTTCTGAAGTAGGCACATTAGTCACTATCGCTTTGGGACAACATCTCTTAACTAGACAGCGTAACCCATCTATCTGTAAGCATGTCTTTGTCTAAATAAACATGTTAATTTCATAAATTCGGTCTCTGTGAGAGTCATCTTTACATCCAGCAAACCACTACCCCCATACATAAAAAGGCATTCTCGCATCATCCTGACAAATTACGGGCAAAGCGAGGGTCGTAACCTTTTCACCTTAAGGTCGACCCTAAAGCGAGCAGCATCGGCCTACGTCGATCATCCCACACTGGTGTCTCGGTCTCAGTTCCCCACATATCTCTGACGACTTGTGGCTTCCTAGATCACTGATTTAAGCCCATCTGACTTATCTTTAAGAAAATATAGTAGGTCATAGTCAGTCTCTATGAAAAGATATGGCATGTAAAGAAAATCCACACTCTTCAAGAACTAAGCAGCAATCACAGCTTACATTGAAAGCATAACAAGAAATTAAAAAAAAAATGACAGTAAGATTAAATAAGTAGGTGCATGCCTAACTGCTCACAGAAGTAATTTCCAATAGCTTTTTTAATAAATTCATATTTCTTCTTTTACAAATGTATTTATAAAATTGCTTTGAATAAATATATTAAATTTGATTATTAAAATGGCATTAGGTGTGTAGTTATCTTACAAATATCCTGTAGATATTATTAGATAAATGCTACCAGAAAAACTTAGATTCAATATTATTTTATAAAGATTCTAATTCTTCACATAAGGTAAGAATTTAGAGTTGCTTTTTATTAAAAATTTCAAATTTCAAAAATTGAAATATGTTAAAAATTTATGTTGAAATTAATAAAAAACTGATTATGATTACATAAAAATATAATAAAAATAAAGAACATCTTACTTGTATCTACCTGCAGCTTTTACATAACGATAAGTATCTTCACCTGTTGCATCCAAAGTAATATCATCTATAAAAGAAAATTGTAATTAGCAATTAAAGTGGAATAATAGAAAATTATGATAAAATAATTCTGCTTCATAACAGAAGTAAAAAGAACTTTATTACCTAATCAGTTTAACTCTTAAAACATTAGTTTTACAAAACAAAAATTAGTTATAGAAAATCAAGACTGCATTAAATGTGAATATTTGTTGTATATACACCTCACCTATCCCTCTTTTTACATGGTCTTTTCTTATGCTACTTTGAAGTAATGCATTTAAAAAAGGAAAGGAAACTAATCCTGTTTTTGTGTGATCAATATTTTTACATAGGAAAAATAGTTTATTTCAAAATTTTTTAATTTAATTTTTTGTTTAAAATGTACTCTTTGTCGAAATCAAGAGTTAATTTATCTTTTTTAAGAACAGTACAGTACTATTTTTACATTAGAGAATACTGTACATTGATTTTGTTTTCTATTCTACTTTGTGTTTACTATATTTATGTGCAAATAATGTTAATGATAAATGATGTTAGAATAAAAAAAGCCTGTGTTGCTTTTTGTAAATTGTTTATTTTTTCATTCCATTAAAATTCTGAATCCTATCAAGCATTTTTCTACAGGATGCTGGTACTGTACTTTTTATGTAATTTTTGTTATTCAGCATTCTTTGAAATGAAAAAAAAGGGATAGGCATATAATTATATAATAAATTCTTAGAAAATTTGATAAAAATTGGCAGGTAAAAAAATTCTTAATTTACAAAAATTTAAGAATTCTTAGAAAATTTTTATACATATATTTAACATACATAGTTTTTTAACTATGTCTATATTGTTGATTAAAAAGTTCAAGCAAATGCATTGCAGCCAGAAATGTTCCCATTACTTCTTTTTAGTAAGACCAACATATTCTAAACAGTAATTAGAATTAAGTTATCAAATATGGAAAAAACTGAATAAATTTATATTTTTAAGAATATAAATAACTTATTGTGAGGATCTGAAGGGGGAGTGAAAAAGAAATAACTAGAAATAAGAATAATTAAATCATAATTGAGAATTCTTTTTACGATGTAGTGGGAAAATATTAAAATACTAACTAAACCCACGCACACACTTCCTATTTCATCCGATTCTGTAAACGATAAAACCAATCAAGAGGACCATATAAGGTAACAATTATTTCTAAGATTGCAAGACAAACTCTGACCTTAGTAACCTACAGCAATTAAGTCGTTTGACAGCTGTTATAAATTTTATGAGGTAGAATGAGTAATCATAACAGATAGAAAGAGGTAATAAATTTAAAGAAATGTTCAATTTTTGACAATTAACATAAACAAAACTTGGACATAAATTGAACTTAGAATGGTTGCATCATCCATAGCATTAGTCAGCTCTCCCAAAAACGAGTATAAAAAGAGTTGGGACATAGACATTGGGGCAGACATCAACAGACCCATACCACCATACTGTGTCACCACCTCACCATAATCGCAGTCTCTATCCCAAGATAAAAGGATGACCATCTCCCAGATCCACAATAGTCCCGTCATATAAACAGGACTTATTAGAGGTATTTTTAAGTACAGTAGATCCCCCTATAATTACGATTCCTATAAAACTACGAAAAAATTGTGATGGTATCCGTAAAAAAGGTAAAAAAACTCCTGTAATTACGTAAAACGTCATCGGGCAGCCGAACTACTTTCCCGCCGTCCGTAGCGCCACGCTACGGACATTTAGGCGGCTAAATTGAGTACATATAATTATATATAAATTAGGTACTGTACATATAATTATATATTAACTTAATTTATTGTAACTTTATTATAATTATATATATTTTTTCTGCCGCGTGGCGCCACGCTACGGAGATTTTACGCTAACTATCGTCTGTACAGTATGTAAATAGGTACCGTAAGCCTAATACAGTACTGTAATTTTATACATTTCTTGTGAAAGAAACATTTCTTATTCAACAGCGATTAAATTTATTTATATTAATGATGTCTCCAAAGTTCAACGAAGTTTTCGCAGAAAAATAAGTTATTAGAAATCGGCCGCTGTTTGCTGAGCTGTTCCATGACGAAAACAAGCTTTAGCAATGGCGATGTCGAATGGTGCACACTCGGTAAGTAATCCTACAATTTTTTGTTTATAGCGTAGTTTATACGGATTATTCCCAAAAATAATATACGTGTTTTGGAAATGTTGAGTCGGATTAGTCTAGAATCGGTTAATTTTATAGAAGAAAACCTTTCAAACAGCCTTAGTCCGTAAACTTCACACGTGTCGGGCTGCGATTGGAAGGACTCCTAAGAAATCAGATTCCTAAAGAATGGAACATATCTATGATCTTATAGGGGGGTTGACTGTAAATCTATTTGTAAACTCTCTCGTCTCTCAGTTATAATCTAGATTAAGGACTTTTTAAGTTTAACTTAAAGAATATTGGATAAAGATCCAGAACTTAGATGGTCTATCGACAAGAACGAAGTAATCATTGTCACAACCTAGAATTTTTGACTATTTCTATTTTTGTAGCTATTAGCTTTTGCATTTGCTGTGTATAATTTTATAGTTTATTAAATGTGTTATTCTTAAGTTTAACCTGTGTAATTATTTGGAACCCATTGACCTCCCCACTCATTTTTAGCCCCCCTAAAGCCATCCTCGACATTAAAAACAGGCTTTTCCAGCCCACACCAAATAAGTGACATTTCATCAACAGACCCAGTTCTCCTGGCTATCTCACATTATTTTCAAAATATAACTGCTGAATATGATGGTATTTAAGACATTTACTATACAGGGTGTGGCATAAAGAGTTGATAATCCATTTCCTGTGGATAGGAGACATCAGACTGTTCAGAAAATTAAACATTGTGTTTAGTATAAGTGTCATAGTTTGAGTTATTGAACATTTTCTATTTTTTTGGAAAATGGACTCCCTCATTCACATTTTTCAATAAATCTGTGGACTGGGATCTTAAACGGCCAAATTATCAACCCATTCAAGCCACCAGGCACGCTGACAGCTGAGACATACCTGGATTTCTTAAGAAATGATCTCCCTACTTTGCTGGAAGATATTCCATTGGAGCACAGAAGAGGAATGTGGCTGCAGCATGATGGTTGCCCTGCGCATTATACATACAATGTACGGGAATACCTGAATGAGAGATACCTCAATAGATGGATTGGACATTTGGGAAGAATTCTTTGACCTCAGCATAGCCTGGACCTTAACCCGGTTGACTTCTACTGGGAGGTGCCTTAAGAACAAAGTGTACAAAGAGCACATGACCTTGATTGAGCAGCTTCGGGAGTGAATTGAATGAGCTGCATTCAGTGAAGCAGGTATTGCAGCAGGGGCGTGCCGTGACATTTCACGATAGGGAAGCTGTGTTTCTGTAAGAAGCCGACATCCAGGGACAAATCAGTCAATTGCGCGTCAGTGATGGTCTAGGGTCCATTCGTATTCATTTGTTCGATAAGCCAGTAAAAACCGTAGACTTCTCTAAATGTATTTTTAATTAATAGATTATCTAACGCACTTAATAAATAAGCAAGTTCAATATAATTAACTCTCTTATATTAGATTTAATAGATTCTATATGCCCTCTAAATGCCAATTCTCGCTTCGATAACATCTACTAATTAAAATATATCTATTAGCCGTAACTATCTTGTTATAATTTTCAATATATATTTTATATTGTGTACTAATGTTAAATTCTATTCTATTTTGATTTCCAAATTGCTTCAATTTTACGAAAGAATCGATGCGAGATTTAGGATTTTCGTGTCTTTTGCCAGCTTTACTCAAATTATTTAAATCGTCAAAGCCAATCTCATTCTACACACTAATTTTATTTGAAAATAGTAGGCAAGGCCAACAAAACAAATTTTGCATTTTTATGCATCCACAAAGCCATTTTATATCTTCATAAATTTTATCATGAAAATGTCGAACAAATTTTTTCTTTTTCATTATATGGTCTCGAGCCAAAACTTTTTGAAATAAATTTTCGATATCACAATTACATTCTAAATTGCTAGCTATAATATAAGGGCTAAAATTAAAAATAAAATTATAAAAACTTACTTGTTAAAATAAAATGTGTGATGATATACAATTATACATACCTGGTACAAAATATTCAATTGTATGAATATACTTTTAAAGAAAATTATAAATATAGTTTTGTGAAGAAACGTACATAAAAATAACATAAAATATTTTTTACTTTTTAAATATTAGAACAATCCACCTAGTTAAAATTGCTCCCTACCAGTGGCTCGTGGATGGAATCAGAGACGGTCTTGGTAGGTGTGCGGTGCGGTGCAAGCTTGCCAAATCCCAAGGGTGCCGATACCGATTAATGTCTCTTTTGTCTCATCACTAGTATATCTCAAAGGACGCGACAGGGTTGTTGTAAATTTTAAACGTTTCTCATCATAGCTGTAAAAATCTAAATTTGTTAAACTTAAAAGTCATTTGTTTTCTAACTACTGTAATTCGTTTTAAGACCAGGTGTCCACAGAAATTTCCAAAATTTACAACTTTTACTCACTTTCATTGAACTGGAAAATTTCTGTCTTTATTACATCTAATATTAAGAAGAAATCAGTCCCCGCTGTACTCCTAGATATTGGTCCGGTTAGGCTTTTGTTTAAGTAAAATTCCGGCTCTTTCATCAGGGTTTTGTTTACGTCCCCAATTCTCTAATCGCTTAATTATTTAACTACTTCTTAAGTAGAAATAAGTCGAAACCGGTTACTTTGTACTCGAATATTTGTAGTCTCGGGAAAAAAGTGGAAAGACAAATTTTTACGACAACGGATACATAAATCGTAAATTTAAGGAAAATAAATTCTAGAGCCTTTTCTGTACCTCGCGCTTTTCTCTCATTCATTAAATTTAGTTGTAAATGACGCTGTCAAAGTAACAGTTAATTTTTTAACATTATACAAGAATTATACACGTTTTTTTCTACACCCCCTTAATGATGGGATGTACGAAATCGTAATATCACTGGTTTAACATCGAAATCCGTGAGTAATATAAAATCGGAGAGCGGAATAAATATATCAAATATTTTAATTTAATGGATTTTTTAACTCCTGTCAACTATACGGAATTATCGTAAAAACATACCAGTAAATTCTTATCGGTTGGGTTAAGTTATAAATCTACTCGTTATTCACGTAATCGAAATATCTAGTGGGCAGGTGGCTAACAGCCCAGAACCGGTCCTTGATAGAATTGGAATCTTTATGTGTGTGCAGCTTTCACCCAAGGTCGTAGGCTTCCACCGGCTAAACCGGGTGAGGTTGGTGCTCTGTAAAGCGCATGCGCAAATCTGGCTTTTCGTAATCTGAAAATACAGGAGATTCCACTCCGCTACTAATATTCTAATATACAATAGCAATTTTTTTTCCCACGTGTAGTATAAAAATTTGTAATATGATACATAATGCGGTTATAATAAAATATTGCGCGATTATTTTCATATAATTAAAATGAATATTTATTTATTTTTTAGAGAATACGAGGGAAGCGGCGCTTCCAACGCTTCTAATGACGGCACGCCACTGTATTGCAGGATAAATTAAGCAATCATTTATTAGATGTAGGGCATGTGTCAGAGCTCATGGTGGTCACTTTAAACACTACATTTATTATTGTAAATTTACAATAACTCAATTTATCATTTTGTTTTATTCTGTCATTTTAATTAGATTCATCAGATTTCCAATTAGATTATTTAGGAGCCCAATTCATTCATGAGATTTTAAAGATTTTCCTTCATCTTTCTCAGTAGAAATATTCATTGAATTGAGAGCTACAATTGCCATTTATGCTATTTAAATCTCAGTACAATAGGAAAATTATTAGTTAGTTTGTCAAGCAGATTACAGTACTATTGTTTTACACACACAAAAAAAAAATTGAATTATGTTTTGTTCTAAAAAAAACCAAGTCTATGACACTAAAATGGCAGCTTACATTTGATAGAACATGTATCCAAGACTAGTATTCAAAAAACAGACTGGGAAAAAGCCACGATTTGTGGCCATAACATTGAAAAATGTGAATGAGGGAGTCCATTTTCCAAAAAAATAGAAAATGTCCAATAACACAAGAACTATGACACTTTTACTAAACATAATGTTTAATTTTCTGAACAGTCATGATGTCCCCTATTTGCAGGTAACAAATTATCCACTCTTTACGCCACAGCTGTATGCTATATTATATGTATTATAATAAGCATATTATATAATGAATAATGTACAAATAATTATTATATTATTTAATTAATTTATTGAAGTATTATATATTTATATGTATTTTATGTTATATATATATAATTTTATTTATATACTAGCTGCAAGAACCCGCTTCGCTGGGTTTTTATTTGTGGGCAAAAAGTAACGATAGTGAAGATTAAGATAATTACATTATAGCCAATCTTACCCGTTTTCACAGAATGCAAGAATTAGGTCCCCCATTTCCAGACTAATTAGAGACCTGGTCCCGATTCTATTTCTGAACGTCTCCTGTTCACATCCAGTCAAATGAACTATTTTCAACGTTTCTGGAATGTCTACAATTGTTCTATGATTGAACCAATATTCAAATTTTATGTTCAAATTTAATTCGAATATTGTTCGAATTAAATTCGAACATAACATTCAAAATAGAAAACCACTTTCAACCACTTTCAGCCCCATATCTCCCGCACCCTTATAGCTATTGAGACGCAACCCCCATAGTGCACGAATGGAGACTTGAGGCTACTACCACATACAAACACCATTCACATGCGATGTGTAGTTTTGACGGAAAAGTGAAATATAGGGACATACATGTCCATTTTTATATATATATATATTTTTTATTTGAAGTGTTATATAGTTAAGTGTTAGAAAGTGTTATACAGGGTTTAATTAAAATGCATCAATGTCCTTGACTTACCAAAATATAAATTTTCGTCTACAAGTACATATCTTCTAATATCAGGACTTATTATAGTAGCTTTACAGATAATGCTATAGAAAATTGTTTTCTGTGAAACTCCGTAGCATTATCTGTAAAGACATTATAATAAGTCCTGATATTAGAAGATATGTACTTGTAGATGAAAATTTATATTGTTATACAGGGTGTTTATAAATGAATGATGCGGTTTTAAAAATTAATAATAAATCTATTTATTACCTTATATGGGCAAACCTTACAGCATAAGCAGTGACAACTGTCCAAGTTTTTTATGCATATTAATCACAATCCTTCAATATGTGCATCCATGGTCACATGACACACATCTACACAGTAATCAAATTCTTCCCAAAAGCAATATAGCATGTCCTCCATGATGGTCTACAGTGCATGCTTTATCCGATCACACAGCTCCTCAAGGAACACGAGCATTGATGGTACATAATCTCGGGCATTGACCAAGTTTAAGGTGATAAATATATTTATTATTCATTTTTAAAACCGCACCATTCATTTATAAAAACCCTATATACACATATAACACTTTCTTGCAGTTCATTGTTTTTAGTGCATTTATATACAATTGAGTCCACTTGAAAGAGCATCAGGTAAGGGAACAATTTATTACTTAAACAGCACTTTTCCATGTTCCCGATTTTCTTTCCTTTGTTTTACATGTAGTGGGACTCCTATTAACAGAGAATTGGATAGCAGAGTAGTCTGTTTAAACAATCACCATGTAAGCAGAATTTATAGAGCAGAAGTCTGCATAAGGAAGCACATTTTAAGGAAGATTTAATTGTATGATAAATCTCCATCTAAGATGCACTGTAACAGAGCACTCTACATTAGGATATTTGTTAAAATGTGATATGGTTTAATAAAATGAGTGGAGAAAGATGAAGCAGTTGAACAAGACAAAAATGAAACAGAAATTATTCACAAACCAGAAAAAACTATTCCTCATAGAAGTGAATTGTTTCATTTTTGCATGGCAAGATAATATTTAGAAAAAATTTTACTGCCCGTAATGCATTTTATGAAACTGAGGAAATTATTGAGAAGAAAGCTGCAAGTAATCATATTCAAAACAGTATTATAGATTTGTTTTAGTAAATTTGTTTAGATTGTTTATTGTGTGAATAGTTGTGATAGCACATGTAATTAATTTCCATATTTATAAATTATCACAAGAAACTTTGATTAAAAAATAATACTGCAAGAATAAAGTTTTTTTTTATATATTCTAATCCCATTAAAGAGAGAAAGTTGTTCATATCTTTTCCTACAGTTTTCCTATGTATTTCTGGGAAGAAGTAAAATAATCTGACTGGCAAATACACTGCATTTACTGATTATTTAATAAAATGACAAAACTGATGTTATATGAATAGATACCAATAAGTATCGTAAAACTATGTGATAATGAATTTTCGTGTTTTCAAGTGTGTTATAAGTTACATATAGCTAAGGCATACAAGGATGGTAGATTTGAATACTATGAACAACTTCCTGAATAAGCTTGTTACTTTGAATAAGGATGCATAATACAACAATCCCAAGGGTGTCCTAAGCAGACTCGACTACATTAACAAATTTAAAATAAGTGGAAAAAAATATAACTTACCTCCATGAACACAAAAATCACAATTATATTTATTCAGAGTTTCTATTGTAGTAATATATGGTGCTCCTTCCACAACCTGTTATATATAATAAATGTTATTTAACCAGAAATATTTACAATATATTTTAAGAAAATTTGAAAATTAATAGCCATATCAATTATAAACTATAATGTCAACTGATTTTTAATCAATCATTCAATAAATCTAAAAGAAAAAATATATTAATTATATCGTAAAGAATGTATACCAGATAGAAATAATTATTAGTTTTAGTCATAATTTCTTATTAAAAAAATTATAGAACTTTATGATAAAAATCCAGTAAATTTTAAATATATTTTTTTATAAGATTTTTGTTTTCTTATCTACATATAGTTCCTATATTTACAAAAATAACTTATACAAACCTTTATAATCTTTAAACATTGATTTTGAATTATAATAATTTAAAATAAAATCACACAGTAAAAACCAAAAATTAAATTGGCTAATTTCCAAGTCTGAAATCTTTAATGTAATTTACAACAATTTCCAGAAATAAAATTATGAAACAGTAAAACACTTCCTTGTATGACAAAATTTAATGTTTCTACATAATCATATAATTTAGAATCATGATTACATTGCAATGCCCATTTCATATTATTGTGAATTTTTTCTGGATACTATTGCCATACTATGCACTTTTAGATAACAGTATTTAATTTAATGAATACTATTTTAATTCCAAAACTTAAAAATTTATATTACTTAATAAATCTTAGAATAACTTAAAGATTAATATTAAAAAAAACCAATCAAAAAGTAAAAATTTAATCATAAATTTAATAGCATTTCATTTATTTTGACTTATAAATCATACCTCATCTACCCATTTAATTCCTCGAACCATTTTGTAGCGTTCCTGCTCTGTAAACACAGGTGGGCCTTTATGTTTTGTAATTTCTTCTATTAAAAATATTAACACTTACTATATTTTAATTGTCTTAACCATCTACTTAAATCTTAATAGTTAAAAAAATCAATAAAAGTAAAAACTTTTTAAGTGAAATTTCTAATAATAAAATCACATTTAGTCTAATATACTTCCTGTTAAACTTATTAATCCAGAATTAAAAGTGTTCCTAACTTACAAAAATAAATATCATTGTAATATGTAATATTCTAAATATTCACAAAAAATAGATGTGATCCGATCTTTAAATATGTCTTAGAAATTCTACATATAATCAATACACACTTCTTTTTAATCACGTTAAAATTTCCAGAATCTAATAAGTATATTAAACAACCTGAAGCCTGATAATATACTGTAAAGGCTTTCATTTGGTTATGTATTTATTATTTAACTTTACAATTTTTATTATTCTTAAAATGTTAGCTTCAAAATCATGTTTCAAAATTAATCTAATATTTATTAAAATTATATTCTTTAAGTCACAATTCTATTTTTATGAAAAATTATATTCTCAAGAAATGTACAAGTACTGTTTTCTTTTTGATCAATATTGAATTTTCATCAATAATCCAATACTACTATTGATTTTTCTATGAATTTATCTACTTGATTTTCCTTCTATAACTTGTGTAAAAATGGGAAAAAAATCACGTAAATCATAAAAGTAAAATAAGAATTGTGTATTTATATTTAATTTTAATTTGGTTTTCAAATTTTTTGAATACTTATCTGCAACAAATTCTAATTAATTTGGAAGTCATGAAAAAGCTAGCTAAAATTTTTTTTCAAAATTTAAAATTAACAATGTAAAATCTATATAAGTCAAAGTAATATCTTATTGTTCGTTCAAAAATTTTATGTTTGCTCATAAAACTAGATAGGTTTTCTTGCTAAATAGTTTTAAAATATTTTGTGCTTCAAAATCTCATATTAATTTTAGAAAAAATACATTGTTTTCAAATTTCAATTTGTATAATCAAATTTTGCTCTAACTGTAATATTATAGCTAAAAACAAACAAGCTATAAAATTCAATTTGTTAAATTTGAAAATTAAAATCTTAGGTTTTTAATACCGTCAAGTAAATTTTCAAAATTTTCTACATTTAAATATTCACATTCCATTTTGAAATGTTCCATCAGATTTCATCTGAAGAACAACTATTCAAAAGTTCAAAAGCATTTGTGATAAACTGTATTTTCACAAAGCACACCAGTAACAGGTTCATGATGGTGATAAAATTTAATTTTTTTAATACTAACTTAATTTTTAATTCTTTCAAAAACTATATAAAAGAAAATGAAACATACCATCTGTATGTACTCCAACTACCAAATAATCTCCCATAGCTTTGGCCTAGAATTAAAAAAAAATTTTTTATGCCTATGTTATTTTGAATTTTTCTTAAAAATATTCATTGATATAAAAAAAATCAAATTATTCATTTAAGTTTTAAATGTATAATGAGCTATTATTTATTGTGATATCATCAAAATGCCAGGCTGCAGTTTTTAATCATATTCTTAATTTATTTAATTTAGATGGCCACTCCTACAAGGAGTTCAAGGCACCTGAGCCTTGATACATCAACTGCACTGAAACAAACAAAAAGTTTGGCCTGCAGCTGGGTACGAGTCACTCAGCTATGAGTGCTGGCTGCCTGTGCTATGCACGGGAACTCAAATGAGTTTGGGCCAGGACGGACTATGGTCCGTAAGTTCAGGGATAACTAAACTTGTGTTCGATACTAATACCACTTACTTGCAGAGAGATGGGAATGGTGGCTGCAGGATACTGCAGTTTAATGCTGAAAAGTGTCGTGCTGTGACCACCCAACTCAGGATGGAAGTAGTTGAGCAGGAGATTAATATCATCCTGCTTCAAGAGCTATACCTACAAGGGCTGTTCGGAAAGTTTGCGGACTTGCCTATATACAGCACTGCGATCAATTTAATTTTTGGCGGGAATAATTCAGCCGTCTTTGCTAGAGATACGATACCAATTTCTGCTTAATTTGTCATAAAGTTTTGCCACGACAGCTTAGCAGATAGTCAGTGTGTACATGCTTTGTCAAAAATGGAGAAGATGGAGACTTGTGTGGTCATAAAATACCTGACAAAAAAAGGGTTGACCTCATCTCAAATCAAAGCTGACATGGGTGAAGTTTTGGGAGAGTCTGCTCCTTCTTACACCACTGTGAAAAAATGGACAGCCCTTTTTAAATCTGGCAGAGAGAGTGTGAAAGATGACCCTCACAGCGGACAGCCGTCAACTGCTGTCACTAAAGAAAATATCGACAAAGTTCACGATTTGGTATTAGCAGATCGTCGTTTGAAAATGCGTGAGATAGCTGAGACAACAGACATCTCTGTCGACCGAGTGCACCACATCCTAACCGAAAATTTGGGTATGACGAAGGTCTCAGCAAGGTGAGTGTCACGTCTGCTGACTGCTGAGCAAAAACGTGTTCGCACTTTGATGTCAAAGGAGTGTTTGGACTTCTACCAGAAAAACCCACAGGATTTCTTGTGTCGGTTTGTGACTACTGCAGAAACGTGGATCCATTACTACGCTCCTGAAACAAAAGAACAATCGAAGCAATGGAAACACCACAGTTTGCCACCACCAAAGAAGGCAAAGACAGTTCCATCAGCAGGAAAAGTGAGTTTTTTGGGATGCTAAACGCATCATCTTTATTGACTACCTAGAAAGAGGAAAGACCATTAATGCTGTCTATTACTGTGAACTTTTGGAAAAACTGAAGAAAGAAATCAAAGAAAAGAGGCGAAGAAGAAGGTTCTGTTCCATCACGATAATGCACCTGCACATTCTGCCAGAATCACTGAACAAAAGATAAACAAACTTTGCTTCCAATTAGTTCCACATCCACCGTACTCACCTGATTTGGCCCCCCCAATGACATCCACCTTTTTACAAACCTAAAAAAATTCTTGGCTGAAAAGAGATTCCACTCAAATGACGAAGTCATCTCTGAAGTGAACAAGTATTTTGCACACCTTGACAAATCGACCTATTGTGATGGCATAAAAAAGCTAGAGCATCGCTGGAATAAGTGCATTGCTAACAAAGGAGACTACATTGAAAAATAAAAAAGTTTTAACATTATTTTGTTTGTTGTTCTATTTGAGGCTGCGAACTTTCCGAAAGGCCCTCGTAGTACAAGGAAAGGTTGGTGGCCTATTGTTACAATGGAGCATTTTTGCCCAAGAAGGTGATGACTGTTATGCTGCAGTTATTCTCACACGAAGGAATGTCAATGTGTATGCTATCCACATCTTATGACTCGTGGTGACCGTATTTCTACGGTCACCACCTGTACATGGGTCGCGGTCTCCAGTTACCGCCCGCCATCACTAAATCTGGGAGGCCTTCTAAATGAACTCGAAGGGGTTGTATCGCTCCACACTTGGGCTGTCTTGGCTGGTGACTTTAACGCCAAACACTCACTGTGGGGCTCCCTGCTAGATGATCCTGACGGGAACATGATGAAAGATATGGCGGAGGGTTGGGGGATGCATGTCCTGAACGATCCGTTCGGGATTGCTACTTACTCCTCTCCTTCAGGCAAAGGCTGGATAGACCTCACAATTGTGAGTGGGACTATGTAGAGACTGACCTTGCAATGACAAACAATCAATGCAGAAAGCTGTAACGACCATCACTTCATCACCTTCGAGGTGATGTACAGCTCGCCTAACTGGCCGAGCAGTTGTTACAGGCTGACTGTCGGAAACTGCAATCAATTTGTCAAATGCCTCGTTGAAAAGACGGCCGACATAATCACACAGGTCTCTAAGGTTGAGAGCGTCGGGGATCTGGAGGATGTTGTGGCCACGCTCACCGAGGCGGTCAGAGAAGCAGGAGACTGCATGTTTGCGCAACGGCGGCCCAGCAACCACGGGTCAGTTCCTTGGTGGAACCCAAGAGCTGAGTGTCCTTACGAAGCATGTGAGGATGCTCCGGTGACACTTTCAACGATGCAGGGACAATGACCTTCAGGCAACCAGGAAACTGCAGTTCCAGAGAGCCAATGCTGAGTACAAGTACAAACTGAACAATGCAAAAAAGACCTCATAGCTCAATTTCTGTCAGCAATCAGTGATGACAATCCATTCTGTCTGCCCTACAAGCTAGTGGCAGGCAAGCTAAAGCATAGGACATCTTGGGGTCTATCAAAAAACCAGATGGAACCCTAACCTCCACACAGGAGGAGTCAATCAAGGTACTGCTCCACTCGCATTTTCAATGTGATGAGCAGTCCAATGACACCGAAGAACAGAGGCAGCTTCAAAGTGACGCGGAGTTGCCCATTCTTGAGGCTGAGATGCCCATGTCGGTGATTGACTCTGAGGTAGCCCATACTACCAGTAACCTAAGGAAAGGGAAAGCACCTGGCATTGATGGGATCATGGCTGAGATGGTACAAGTTCTGCAACATGAACGTCCTAACATGCTCCGTGTCTTGTATCAGAAGTGTCTGCTCCTGGGTCACTTCCCAGTGCAGTGGAAGTGGGTGCATCTTGTTTTAATTCATAAGAGTAGAGCAGTCTCCTGAAGAACAAACCCAAGTCCTACAGACCGATCAGCCTACTGCCAGTGCTGGGGAAGATTCTAGATATAATATCCTATCGCTGAGAATTCTATCATTTCAAGTGGAAAGAGCTGTTACACCCACACCAATATGGATTCTGGTCAGACATGTCGATTGTAAGGCACTACATCAAGCGGTTGATCTGGTTTGCCAGAACCATTGGCAGGGTCTCCACACGTTGCTCATTTTGATGGACGTTGCGGGGCTTTCAACAATGTTTGGTGGCCATTCATAATGGGTGACCTGCAGAAGGCAAACCTGCCGACCACCCTTGTATCACTTTCCAGGAGTTTCCTGAGTGACCGCATGGTGGTCTACAAGATGCCAGGCAGAAGGTATGAGAGGATACTGGAAAGGGCTGCCCACAAGGGTCCTGTATAGGGCCCCTAATGTGGAACATTCTAGCGGATACAGTGCTGCGACTAGTCCTCCTGGAAGAAGTCCAGCTGCAGGCTTATGCAGATGTTCTGTTGCTAGTAGTTGCAGGCTATAGCAGACGCAACATGGAAATTTGCTGCACAAAGCAATAGAACAGCTCATTCGCTGGGGAGAGCTGCACAAACTCTCCTTCAGCCCTGAGAAATCAGAGGCCCTAACGGTGGAACAGATTGGAGTGTTGGCTCGCCAACCAATATACCGGAACCGGGGCAACCCCATCCAAAGGGCGAAAGAGTTAAAGTACCCTGGAGTTATCATCAACCAAACACTGCAGGATGCCCCATCTGAGAAGCATTCGAGATAGAACAAACCTCACAATAGTGGCACTATCGAGGCTAGCTAGACAGGACTATGGCCTTAGCGGAGAGGCAATTCGATCCATCTATAACAGCGATTCCCAACCCAGGGTATGCGATAGGTTGTTTAGGAGTACAGAAAAAAGTTAGTTATTATGGCAGAAAAAATAATATATTATGTATCACAAATTAATAGTATTAAAAAATTATTAGGTAAAAAATGTTCCTTGCAACAATCACAAACTTATTATACATTTCAAAGTGCAAAACTAAAAAAAAACTTATGCTGACAATTGTACAATGCAACAGATCAATAAATGTTGTGCACTCAGTTAATGGTAATGGGGATACCATTATGTGTGATTAGTGATTATGCTATGGACTTTTACCATTATTATTATCTCTCAACAATATCCCCACATATTGATCAAAAAATGTATTTTTTTTGTTTATAAAAAATATGGTTATATTGTTAATTTATTGTTAGCAAAGAAAAGGACATAGCTAGTTTCTCTAGATTTTCCCAAGATATCTCATTTCAGCATCAGAACGTTTTTCAAGCAGATGGCGCTAGTCGTTATAATTTTATATTAAAACTAACTTCCGAAATATAATAAACATAAAATGAAAACAAATTAATATATATATAGTTTGTGCAAAATAAGAAAATAATTTTGGATGATACAATAGCCATGATTATTTTTTTCAAAAACAGGAAATTTTCATTAACCATCAACAAAAATTTAACCCGGGACGACATGCAACAGAGAAATTTCAAAATTGCATAGGTTAATTTCACCTTTGATTTATCATTAGATATGGATAAGTGGTTGGAACAAGGAACAAAAAATGAGCTAACACAATGTGGAAAGAGTTCAATTGGCAAATACCTCTCAAGACAACAGCACTTCGGATCTAAACACTAGAAAAGTCCAGAAAACAGAGAAAAACAGAAAGTACTGCAATGAATATATTAAATATGGATTTACTTATATAGGAAATGAAAACTGTCCTAAACCACAACATGTAGT